CTTCATTATAAGTAAATTTATTTTCATTGAAGATTTTACTGTTAGATGATAATCTATTAATCCTAGTATTAACAGTGTTAGGAATTTCCATACCTGAAAATGACAGAATGTACAGTCGAAAGTACTTGTATATTTAAGGAAGACCTTATACAGTTTATAATTTAAAAAAAACAAGGATCATAACATTCAATGAGTGATTGGTAGCTTAATGCATCTTTAAAATTTTGTTAGCAAAAGGATTTTGCCTTTTTATATCATTAACTTTACTAATTTACTTTTTGTATGAATGCGTCATTGTAATATAAATTGGACTGCACCACATATTTGGTTTAAAAGATATGTATATGTAACTGATTTGAAATTTGCTTTGGGTAATTGGTTATGCTTATTTCACCCTAATGGCTTGTATTGATGCAAAAGGTATGGGAATAAGAGGAAAAGAACAACTTTGGAGTTATCGCAAAAAGTGGAAATTTTAAACAGACTAGATGCTGGTGAAAGTTCATTGTAATTAATGGCTGAGTTCAACATAGAAAAGTCAACATTGTATGATATAAAATCTTCCAAAGAAACTATTCTTCAGCGTTCACACTGTCACAATGAACAAGGAAATAAAAAACATGATTGTGATGAAACCTGGACTGAAATTGAAAAAGCTATTGAAAAGATTGTCAGGTTTATGGAAAGAAAGTGAGAATTCAGCTATGATCATGAATTAACACATGCAGTGTTAAAAAGTGTTTACATTTAAAAACTTTCAAGAACAAAAGTAAAATGAAATGCAGAAAAACTTGAGAAAGGCATTAGAAGAGAAAGAATCATCATGCAACACCAATTAAAAAATCCTTGTTAGATTATTTGTTTTGCATACATGGCATACTTAAGTTAATGAATTTTCATTAACATTACATAATTTATTTCTTTTTCCTTAAAATCAATTCTATTATATTTCACTCACCATTAGCTTATTTTGTTTACTATAAAACATTGAAAATAAATGTTAAACCTGATTTCAGTTCTTTTATTTTAATCTAAATATAACCCCTTTATGCCTGGAAGGCCTTCTTAGTCTGATTGTCAGGGATTCTACTGTGTATATATATATATATATATATATATATATATATATATATATATACTAGCAGTAGAGCCCGGCGTTGCCCAGGGATGTAACAGTAAGAGATAGATCAAGTATCGACCATCATAAAGACTGAAAAATAAAATTGACAAAGATTATTGTTTAAGGTTGATGGACACGCATGTCTTAATTAGTTTTTTTTTTTTTTTTGTTGTTGTTTTTTTTACGAATTGATCAAACCCAAACTGAAACAAAAACATTGTTTTCAATCGTTATGATGAGTCCCCCGATTGAATAGAATTTTATTATAAACAATTGTCTTGTAAATGGAATTTTTAAAGCATTCTGAATGTAAAAATAAAGAAAAAAGTGTGCAAGACAATAAGAAACACTACCTGCCAAAAAAAAGTGAAGTTTTGTTGAAATCGGTTGAAAAATGTAGGAAATCCAATCCCATATATAAAGGAATACACACACACACACAACCTGGGTTTTATAAGTATAACTCGATATGAGTTGTTCCCCTTTCATTCTGGCAACAGTGATGCCTCTTAATCGTGTTTTCAAATTGATTTTGTGCAAAAACAATTGTGTTTTTCCAATTTTTGGTGCTGTCAGAACCACCGCAAGGTAATTTTACATAGTCCCGTGAAGTTTTGTTGAAATCGGTTGAAAAATGTAGGAAATCCAATATATAAACCAATATATAAACGAACACACACACACACACACACACAACCTGGGCTTTATAATAAGTAAGATTACAATCAACACCATTACTTGACAAGACACCAGAAGTGTTGAAACAAAATGGCTATTTTGTAGTTACGTTATAACATACTTAGGTTATAATTTTTAAATAAATATTATTCACTCTATTTTGTATTGAGCACTTTTTTTAAAAATACTGTTTTTCGTTACTGAAATTTTATTCCATCTATACCAACCTTGTATTTGAATATATCGTTTTATATATATATATATATATATATATATATATATATATAGGCAGCAAATTCTCTTTTAGATATGTCTGATTGAATAAATTACAGACATTATGTCTTCTAATTTTTAATAAAATCCATTCATACTCATGAATAACCTTCCATGTATTGATGTTAAAAGATGAAAGAAAAGAGCTATAGCTGTTTAAATTTCTTTTATTTTCATTTCCCAAGTATTTTTGATCTTCTTCCAAGATCATCTTCAGGGGTGCAAGTGGTACAAAACTATATGTTATTCATTAGTATAAGTATTTATATAAAGATGTGCGGTGTTATCCATTACCATAATTTTTTCATTATGCTTTTAAATGCAAAATGGTTGACAATGCACTGAGCATTCATTAGAATGTGAAAAAATTATCCATTATGGAATTTGTTATAATGTCATGGTCACGTGCACATTAAAGCATGAAAAAACAGGCATTTCAGGACATTACTGCAGTATTCAAAGTTGATTCTGTTCAGTGCTGGCTTTAATTTTTTAATATAAATTGCTTCTAGTATTTGTAATCTAGATTTGTTGTTTTCATGGTGTAGGATAGTTGTGTTGTTGATTAGTAATTTTTTATATTGTGAATGTGGACAGAAATGTTGTTGTAGATGTTTCACAATGGACAAATGGTCAGACATGTGGAGAGTAAGCCTTCTTGTTAGTGTATTTATCATATACCCAACATATATATTTGTCTTTTTGTCAGAGATGCATTCTCCCAAGGGACATTTAAATTGGTATATAATGTTGGTTTCACATAATACATCAGTTAGTGGGGATGAGTTATTGCCGATAATTAAATTGGTTGTTTTGATATACATATGATTAATTTTGTTTTTTATTAGAATCCTTGGAAGATATGTTAGTATAAATAAGATTCTTTATGATTTTTTTCATCCTGTTTGTATATATATATATATATATAAATTTATATATATATATATCCTTTTTGCAGTGTGTATCTGAAAATTAGGTCAACATGTCTAGAACCTCAACATATCTTTTTTAACAAATCCCTCTTTCTTTCAAAGTTTTGAATATTTTCACCATTCTCCTCTTTACCTTCTCCCTGTCTGAATACATACTCTTTCTTTCCCTCCCTTCCCTCAAATTTGAATCTGCATATTTAACATAATTAATGGTCTAATTGAATTTTTTAAGCCTGGTAAAATCCTTGTCCATTTATATTTGTGTGTAAGAGTTGGTCTGATGAGTTGGGATCAAATCTTCGATTGTAACAAAATTAATATCATCATGGTCTTTTAAGTGTTTGCTTTCATTATAATAATTATTACACACACACACACACATATATATATATAGATATTGATAATATTAGTGGTAAATATACACATACATATGCAATCATATATCTAAAATATATAAATATATATATACATACATACATGCACATACATATATATATGTATAAAAAATAATTCCAAGAGGATAGAATCCAGGTAGAACTCAATGTCCAGGACAGAGTAAGGATATAATAAAAAGGCTTAAACACTAATAATCCATGGTTATAATTTATTCCATTGGAATCATAAATACGATCCAATTCATCAGACCTACAAATTCAAAAAGAAAACAGAAAAAACAACTCCGGGAATAAAAAATAAAATTTATTGAGAGTGTATGTATGAGAGTGTGGGATGAATGTTAGAGTAAATGAAAGCTATAGGGAGTCAAAAATGGTTTAAACCATCTTTGACTCCCCTCTTTAAAACTTCTCTCTGTTAAATTTTAATCCCCCCTTCATCTTTAGACCTTCTAAATCCCCCCTTCATCTTTAGACCTGTTCTTCTCTCGTCTGTTACCTCTCTCTATAGCTTTCATTTACTCTAACATTCGTCCCACACTCTCATACATACACTCTCACTAAATTTTATTTTTTATTCCCAGAGTTGTTTTTTCTGTTTTCTTTTTTGAATTTGTAGGTCTGATGAATTGGATCATTTATGATTCCAATGGAATAAATTATGACCATGAAGTATTAGTGTTTAAAAGCTTTTTATTATATATATTTTATATATATATATATATATATATATATATATATATATATATATATATATGCAAGTACTTAGTGGACAGTGCTCAATATCTGTGATAGATCTAACATATTCAGTTGTGTGGATATGAGTTTGTAACCCTGGTTTCATGCTTTTGCAATCATTAGGTTTCAGGTCTGCAGATCACAAAAGCATGAAACCCAGGGTTACAAACTCATATCCATACAAGGAAATATATATATATATATATATATATATATATATATATATATATATATATATATATATATATTGCTTTTATGCATAATTCCTGAAATTTCATAATTATATCCATAAAAGTGTATTTTTGTATATATGTGCTTTTTTTTTTTTTCATTCTTTTTCATGTATTACTTGAAACATCAAATATTCCAAAGGAAAATAAGTTAGAACTGCACTTTGATTGTCTTGGAGTTGTGCAAGCATTTGTATTGATAAAGAAACTCATTCTATATATGAGGTGGTGCTGAAATGTTCTTGACCTAACACACTTTCTAAACTATGACCAAACATTAGAATTTTGGTGGGGAAGGATTTCTTGTTTGGGTTGAGAATTTTTCTGTACCTCTTTGTATATTACTATAGTCTAAATCAGATAACGATAATTCAGAAAGTTTATTTGCGTTTTTTGTTATTGAAAAGAAAATTTTTTTTTTTGTAAATAGTAATTCTATAATAGATTTCAAGATTTTCTTGATATTGGATGTCCTGTTGCCTGTGAATACATATAAATACCCATGCTGCCTTTGACAATTGAATGGTGTTTGTAAAAGTATATAAAAAGAAGGATGGCTGAAAACAAAAAATGTGTAGAAAACATTTTTTTTTGTCATTCCTTCATAAGATATATTGTGATGTTTATTTTGCAGGAAAAAGAAAAGGAACTAGAAGTATGGAATATTTATAGTAATCGCCAGAGGAATATTACCCAGAAAATGAGCAGTTCTCGCTCAACTCCTTCTGTGAAAAGTAAATTTAATGAGAGGGTACCTCCACTCACACCTCCACCAGTGAGGATGAAAAGATATGAGGAACGAAGACGACAATCAAAGAAACAAAAGGAATCAATGGTCAGTGTTGTTATTGTGTTGTAGTAAATATTTTTACCATTGTCATACTGCTATATATATATATATATATATATGTGTGAGAGAGTTGGAAAATATCATGTGTTATATAGCTATTGATTTGCTCTGATATCCGCATTATGTGAAGATTGGACCAAATCAGGGCAAACACAAGGTTAAGGATAGAGAAAATTTGCCTGCAACTAACTTTATTCAGGTACAGAAGAGGGAGTGCTTGGCTGCATAAAGGGTGACAATCACATTCTTTAACATTAAGTAGGGTGCATGTACTTAATACAAGAGAATATTCATTAAACAATAATATAACATCCCTACTGTTATAAATAGGAACTATGATCTTAACCTACTTCCTTGTTTCACATTGACTGACTTATCCCTCTTTCAGCATGTGTATGAATCTTAACAGTTTTGCATTTCCTTGGTTCACTTACATGAGTTATTTGCAGCTGGTGAGAATATGGTTCTAGACAGTTGAACAATTAGTGTTATGTAGCAGACTTAGTGGCTATAGAGGTTGGTGGTGGCTGACAATTCAGTATTTGCTCTAGTGATTTATTGCAAGTGATGTCTGTTGTATCAATAGATTCCAACTGGCATCTGGACTTTATGAGAACCTTCATCCTGTTAATGATTTATGATGGCTTCCCCCCCATACATGATCACACTTTTTGTATGGGTTCATTCAAGCAATATCACTTTCACTTAATTCTTGCAAATCATGTGCATGATTAATGTAGCTTGAACTTTCTGTGTTTAAGTAAAGTTGTTTCACTTAACTCAAGGTTAGCTATCTTTGGTTTCAGTAATGCTGCTCATGGGCAGTAATTTATGAAGTGGTGATTTAGTAGGTATTGAGAAGGGCTGTTTCCCATTTTTTGATTAGGAGTATTTCTAAAGTTGGACAATGCCATAAACTGGCCTGTGTTGATATCCTTATTTTTCCACATGAGATGTTTTGTAGACAAGGGCATAATCTGGGGTCCAGTATCAGAAATGACCTGGTATGGAATCCTATATCTTGCAAAATGTGCCTTCTATTTATGGATATCTCCCACATGGAAATATACTCATGTATATATAATGACATGCCTGACTAGAAAATACATTCCTTCATGTGACATATGTAACCTTCAATATCTGTGTGTGATGAGTAAATTGCATGTTTGATATGACTCCACAGGCTGAGTGGAATAAGCATATTGTCACCTTTAAATATGATGCCATCTTGAGTGGCTTTATTATGTAAATGAAAATATAGATATAGAGTAACTGGATTATTTGCTTATAAGGAAGCCAACCCTGTAATATGTTTTTCTTGAGCAGATGGCATGTTTCATCTGTTGCTTTGCAGATCTGAATAAACATTTCATTACAGATTGGGAGAAAGCTTACCATAATAACATGTTTCAACTTTGTATGACAGCTCTTCTCATCTGTCATATATGACTGTGATCCCATGTCTGTGCTATACTTTTTTTTCTTAATGTATACAATATCAAGGTTATATTTTGAGTATATAGTAGTATTTTGTCATGTTGGCACTTTTACAAGAGGTTTCTTCAGTTATGGCTTCAAGTGGTTTGTAGTCAGTGTGGATCTCTGACCTTCTGCCATGTATGTACTGGTGAAATTTTTCCAGCAAGAACACAATTGCAAGCATTTTTTTTTATCAATTTGTGCATACCTCTGTTCTGTATCAATGAGAGTTCTGCTTGCATAAACCACAGGTTTTCCTTGTTATAGTAGGGCTGTGACAAGCTCTTCTGAGATTACATCACACTGAATTACAAGTGCATCACTTGGGTTGTAGAAAGTGATTAGTTGTGCTTTTGTAATGAGTTCTTTCATTTCTGTGAACATTGTGTCATGCGCATGAGATCATGTCCATGGAAATCTTTGTATCATGCTGGATTAGTTCCTTGACAGTAGATAGTAATGATAGAATCTTACAAGGTAATTTATGGTTCCACATGCACATTACTCCTTCCACTGAAGTGGATGGTTGCAACTTGGTGACTGCATCAGTTTTAGTAGAGTCTATTAGTGATGTGTATTAGTAATGTGTGACAAAGTGCTGATTGATGATTCCTTCAGCTGTACCTTATCTATGTTCTGCTTGATCTTCTCACAACATAGCTATAGTAGCAATTTCAGATTTATATTGTGATTTGTTGATGCTTGCTCAAGTTCATCTCTTGACCAAGTACCATATCATTGGCAACACTCAACTCCATTCAAACCATCATTGGCATAGAGATATTTCTGAATTATTTCAGAATTTACACAGATTCCAAGAGAGCCTGAGTCACTGATACTACCTAAATCCGTTTTAAAGGGAGTGCAATTAACTGAATTTGTTTTCCAATATTACATTCCAGTAAGTTGATGCAACATCTAACTTAAAAGTATTTGGCATTTGTTAAACTTGTCAGCACTGTGATTGGTAACTGGTATCATTCAAACTTGAGTGCTTTGTTCAGGAGATTTGAACCAATGTAGATATGAATGTCACCAGAGTTCTTTGATCATTCAAATGTTCCAGAAAGAGTTAAAGCAATTGAAAGAACTATTGCTTTCGTTGATATACCAACAAAAGCAATAGTTCTTTCAATTGCTTTAACTCTTTCTTGACTTAAGGAATTATAAATGCTGGCATGTGTCCAAGTGCAGTAGTATGCTAATGTGACAATCTTATCTACTTGTAGATGTACCTGCCCAGTTAATGATCTGTTCTCCATTGAAGACATCTTTATTTTTTTAATTACTGGGTACTTTAACTCTGAATTAACATTAGCGATATTATCATAGTGCACAGTCATCAAATTCATCTGTTCATTTGTATGCTCTCTGACAATAGGGATAGATTCTCTTTCATTCCAGTGAATTTAACTGAATATTTTTCTTGTCCTTAGGATTGAAAAGCATAATTTGACACTTGCCAACAGACACTAGCTCAATCTCATTCCATATTTGTAGTTTTCTGGTGGATGGTTGCAGATCAATATCATACACATATTTCTGTAGGATTACATTGTCAATAGCACTACAGGCAACTTAGAACTTTATTTTTTATCAAGTAACCTTAGAATCTTTGTCTTTTTTCCACTTTTCAATACAAAATAACTCCTGTTATTACAAAGTCTACATTTTTGGCCCCAAACAGGATGTGTATTTTTTCCATCTTGCCACAAATTACAGTTTATATGACCCTTTTTATGGAATTTCTATTTGTAATTTTGATTCTAGATTTGTTTATTTGTTCTGTCTCTACAAGGTCCTTCATAGCTGTCAGCTGTGTAGATGTGGCTTTGCAACTGCATGATATGTTGACACATTACCTGAGAATTAGTGTTGTATGTTGTAACATTCTTTTATGAGCCTGGTTTTCTCTCACACCTACCACTATGTAATTGTGTAATAAAGAGTCATGTAAACACATACCAAAATGAAAAGATTTGGATAAGTTATGTAGCATAGAATCAATGCTCTCACTTGATTTCTGGTCTCTTTTGTTGAAAACATACTATTCATATGCTTTGTAATTCTATCCGATGAAGTGTTGTTCAAACTTGACTATTATCATATCCAAGTCATCTTTCCTTTCTGTTGCAGCATACTGAAATCCATTGTATATCATCATGACATCTGGGCCAATAGCATGGAGAAATAGTGCAGTTTGGTTCTCCTTATTTTGGTCAGCCAGTTTGGTCAAAATGCTATAGTTAATCCATATCTATTTCCAGAGTTTCCATCTTTCAGAAAGATTTGTCTTCATATCCATCTTGCCTGGCAGTAATATATTTGACTGTAACACTTTTGCTATTTTCACATATATGGGTACAGCTCATGCTAATGTCAGTGTTGTCAAATGCTCAACATCACTGAAACAGTTTATTTTTCATGGACATAAGGCCTCATTTACAGAGCTGCCACGATACTATTCATTAGTCATTGAAAGAACAGGAAAAACACAATTTTAAGGAGAGAGAAAACTTACCTGTGACTGATTTTATTTGATTACATGAGAAAAAAGGGAAGGGTGGAGGGAATGCTGGGAAAGATAAGGGATGAGAATCATGTTCTTTAACATTAAGTAAGGAGCATGTATTAAATGATAATGCAGCCAAGGAACTTTAATTAAATAAATTATGTAACACTTCCAATGAAGTTGTTAAACTTTGCTGATAATCTGAGCACAGTATGTTTTCAGATTCTTTCAATATTCTTATTCTGCAATGCTGTTTACTGTTTAATAATTTGACTTCAATCCATAAACATTGGTGTATACCCTCTTCCCTCTCTATGCATAGTAAGCATTACCTGATTTTAAAGTTTTGCTTTTTCAACTAAAAAGCTATCTTTTCTTCTTCCATTCTTGTTATTAATATTACTAAAGTTTAAGGTGGATTATAGCCTACATATTGATTTCTTCTCTTTTTTTATTCTTCTTTTGTAAAATCTGACAGATTTCCAATAATACCTTTCAGTTAACTTGGTTCAAGCTAAATCAGAATTCTCCAATATCCAAATGCAAAAACAAGGACTAAGTAATTCCTTAAAATTCCTTAATTTATTAGTAGATAGGGAAAAAACGGGAGTACTATATACCAAGAACTGCATATACAATATTTCATGCAGCTGTACCAAAGACCAAAAATAAGGTTTGAGAAATACTAGAAAAGCTGCAATCCATAGAGATAATTTAAAATCAAGTACAGCTACAGGTGGTGGTGCAGTAGTTGGTCTTATCTGCTTTTATGAAACAAAATCAAAATATTAGACAGAAAACAACAGTTGAAAATAAGATGATCAAGGACTCTGTACTTAGATTATTTGATCAGTAGATTAACTATAGAGATTAATAATTTGTAAGAATCATTAATTAGGAATGGCAAATCAAGAAGAATGACTTAAGAATTGTCATTTTGACAGATTCAGTGGAAGATCACATTTTCAGCAAGTATATATCAGGTGAATACAATCTGAAGAACACACAGAGGATTCAGATGTGTACACATGGAGCAAAATTCAATATTCTGAAACACAACTGACACTCAAAGAATGCTAGATATGAAGACAAGGAAATTAGTTTAAATTATCCTCTGGGTGCCTATATAGAAAATTAACATATCTCAAAAGAAATTGTAGATAAAACTGAATTGAGTTTCTTCATATTTCAATGCTTATTGACATATGAATAAAGGAAATGAGAGACTAAGGAAGTAGTAAATCTATCTATTTAATTAAATACATATTTTAAAGCAATCATCTTGCTACTAAAACTAAAATTCTTTATTACTGCTTATCATTGCCTATTCATGGCCTAAGTAACTGAATACAGAGAAAAGTAAAAGAATTGAGAGGCCATTTCAGATCAGTCTATTTTCATAAACTCCAGATTGGAGATGAATAAACAATAATGGTTACCTGACAATAGAATTTTAGAAAAAGATTTCTATTAAAATATTTTGTAAAACCTTTTGATAGTTTGTTTTTTAAAATTGTATTATTTATTAAAGAATTATCAATAAATTTTAAAAATATATTAATAAAATTCAAGCCAAAATTCTGAAATGATTTGTTTTGATTATCAAAAACAAATTAATAAATAAGTAAATTCTTTTGAGGACTTTTACAAATAGCTAGAATTACAATTTAATTGTTTTTCACTAAATAAGATTGTGTATTTAATATATATATTATATATACAAAAGCATTTTGCAAACTTCAAGTATGACCTTAAACTTCCTTTATTTTTAAATAGATGTGAATAATGTATATAATTTTTATAATGTATATTGATTTTAAAATCATTTGCAAATTTTTAATACAGTTGAAAAAAGTGAACTTACCTTCACCAAGAGCTGCCAGTGATACAAAAAGCAACCAAACATCAGTAATTGATGATATTGACTTTAATCCATCAATTCAAACTTTGAATGAAACAGTGGAACCTATTGAACCAGCATCAGTCATGGATACTCACAAGTTTACTTGTCAAGAAAGCATCCAAGAGGAAGTTGTAGAAATGCTGGAAAATATTAAGCTTGACAAGACCAAAGTGAAGACATTTCCAAATGCTAATATGGAGCCAGAAAAAACTGTAGTAAAACAAGAAAAAGAGGAAAAGTATCAAATGGAAGAGTTAAGACAGCATGAAATTGAAAGGATTGAAGAGAATGCAAAGAAAGAAAGAGAACAGTTGCAAAAAGAACAGGAAGAGGAACGTAAAAAGAAGGATCTGTTATTGGCCAGATTAAGGGATCTGGACAACAAACCTCAAACCCTTATAAACTCAGAAAATGATCTGGTTACAGATACTCCTAGCAGGACTGGTTACACTTTTACAAAGCAAACTGAAAATCTCCATCAAGGGAGGCCTTCAAATGATTTAGACTTTTGGGATTCACCATTGAAATTCAGTCAAATCAAGCAGAATTCTCTTTTAAAACAAAACCAGAGTAATGTTGGAACTTCATCTCAAAAAGGAAGCAGGGTATCCAGTCGAAAACCAGATAATATGATTGAAGATTTTTTCACTTCAACTGTTTCCCCCAAAAATACTGATGGCCTCAAGATGTCTAGTTTTGTCAATGGAGATGTGCCAATTCATCATGATTCTTCTGAAAACAGAACAAGGTCAAAAAAATTAAACAAGATGGAAAGCAGTGTTTACAAGGAACTTTTTGGAGAGAATGTTGATGACAGCATTTCCTCCAACAGAAACAGTGACTTAATCCTTGGAGACCTAAACCGACCAAGTAGGCAGGATTCAGTTTGGATAAATCAAACTGTTGGCAATGTTGGAGGGTTGTTTAGTGGAGATGGTTTGAACAATAGTTATAATGAAGGAGGCAAATTATTACCATCCAGACAACAGGTTAGTATATTTGAAACCCGGTCAACCATCAATGCATTTGATAATTCTTCTGATAGTATAGAAGAAATAATTCTTTAGTTTGTTTTATTAACAGCACAAATTTTTACTTGTGTTTTTCTTTGAGATGGGGGACTTAATTTCTTACTTTGGTATGAAAAAGTTGAGGTAGTATATTCTATACCTCACTTTTATGACCATTTTGAAGAACATATTTTGTTATAAAGAAAAAGTATTAAAAATAATCAGTAAAACTTGCTTGTATTTTATTTGACATGTGAGAAAATTTATTCCTATTTTTTTTCTGATCTTACCTGCTTGGTCTGTCATTTTATGATGACTTTACAATTTTAATCATTGCTGAAAAAGATTTTTCGGGTTTATAAATCATTAAATATATATAAAGAAAATTTTCTCTCTTTACTTCTCTGTTTGTTATCTCTCTTTCTGTCTTTGTTATACATACTATTCTGTAACTTAAAATGTGCTAAACTTCTCAAAGATGAATACCTGAAAATCATTACATTTCAAATTTGATTAATGTTGTAACCAACAATCTTGATGGAGAATATTTGACTAGAAATAGTCTTCTTAGAACACAATAGTTGTAAATTGAAATTAAAGGAAGATTTGAAACTTTTAAAAGTTACCAAATATAAAATACCTGACAAGGATCATATTTCACTGCTTGAAAAACAACTAAAGGATGCTAGGTTGATGTAGAGTTTAAGGTTGATAAAATTAAGAAAAATTACCATAGTTACAAATAAATTTTAGTATAGATCAGACCTTCACTTTATTAGGCAATCCAAAAAATTGAATTTAATTATCAAAGAAAATATAGTAATATGCATTGATGTTTCAGAGTATATTTTGGTGGTTAGTGAAGTTGTAACACCTGTCAAAGAATGCTGGTTAAAGCAGCAAAAAGATGAAAAAAGTAGAAAACCAACCCCCAAAAAATATTTTACCTAAACCCAAGAGCCAAACTGTTAACAACAATAATAAACTACTAGTATGTCTAAATAGGAGACAAAAGAAAAAGTGATGGTAACTTTTTCTGATTCTAAAACAATGCAATATGCAACTTCCAAAATCGATGTTGCTTCTATTTTCATAAATGACCTTCCTCTCAGCACGGTATACATGTTAGTGACACAACTATTTACTCCTGTCTTAATAGTAAGTCTGATCAGTTCAATAAAATCAAATTGGCAGCTGATCTAAAAATAACATACAATCTGTTGTTAAATGGTTGGCTTGTTAATTTTAATACCTCCAAAATGAAACTGTTCTCTTTTAATCATCTGAGAGAACCTTTTTTTACCTTCTGTTAACATGGCTAATGCTAATCTCTAGGGGAGTGACTTACTGTGCCTTTTTGGATTAAAATTTTCTGCTGGCATGAAATGGAAGGAGTACATTGAATCAATTACTGTGTTGAGCTAGACAAGTTTTCTCACCAAAATCTATCTTACATATTTATAAGTCTACCATTCATCCTTGCTTTGAATATTGCTGTCATATCTGATCTGGTGCTCTTGCTATATATTTAGAGATTCTTGATAAAATCCAAAGAAGCTACAATGTTATTTGTCCTAACTTGGCATTTCAGCTTCAGTTACTTTTCTACCACCATAATGTAGCTTCACTGTGCCTTTTCTATAAATAGTAATTGTTCTGATGAACTTTTCTTTATGGTACCTAGACTTTATGAATTTAAGTGCAGTACTAGATTGGCAGCAAGGTCTTCATCATCTTACAATTGAAATGACTAGATGTAACTGTAAGTTCTATTCTATCACACTTTTTGCTTGTGGAACTCTATGCTGGCTTCTTCCTTCCCAGTCAACTTGGTCATCAAAAATTTAAATGCAATGTCAATCATTATCTTCTGCCTTTTTAATACTTGTTCATTTATTGTCCTCTCTCCTTAAGAGTATATTTTTCTCTAACACTCAGTAACCCCTGGCATCTTAGTAGTGTTATTGCTTTGCTTGGGGTGAAATGATTAAAAAAAATCTAAATTATGAGAATTATTATCAAATTTGAAAATAAGTGACTGCTTTCCCGTCAATAATTATGATGTATCATCATCATCATCCCTTTGACTTTTGTAATCGTAGGAGAGATCTGAGTGCAGAAGCCATATTGAATCTCTGCCACAACGGTTTATCAACAGCAGCCATCAGCAATTCTGATATAGTTATACTTGTCCAACCAGTTTTTGTGTTGGTATCCTCTCCTACATCCACCTTCAATGGTGCCTTGCATGATGGACTTGCACAGATTGTCATGCCTTGTAACGTGTCCAAACCACACCATTTTTCTCTGTTTGACAGTGGCAAGAAGAGGTTCCTGGTGGCCCACAAAACTTTCAACCCTTTTCTGCACAGACTCATTGGTTTTATGTTCCTAATAGAAGATGCAGAGGAGTTTTCTCATGCATTTGTCCTCAAACACTTGAATCCTTCTCTCTGTTTCTGCCAACAGTATCCAAATTTCACATCCATATATGAGATGGAGACTACCAGCAATTTGTACAGTCTGTACTTTATTTGAAAGCTTATTTTGCTCCTCCATATTCTTGCAAATTTGGCCATAGCTGCAACAATATGATTGCATAAAATAATTTAAATCCCAGGAATTTTATTGTGTAACAAACCTTCATTTAAATTAGTTTCATTAAATAGGAATATCCTCTTATTGAAAAAAAAAGGATACACCAAATTTCTTACATTAACGACTTTTTATATGGTAATGGTAATATTGGCTGTTTCATTGAAAGGAGGCTTACAGCCATATCATGTTGAAACACCGATCTTCGTACAATCACTGAAGTTAAGGAACATTGAACTTGGTCAGTGCCTAGATGGGTGACCACTTGAAATTACCAGGTAATATAAGCTTGGAATTGGGATTCAGAGAGCTGAGTTCCAATTCCAGTTGGGTTCGTTATATTCACCTATGAGAAAATACCCCTTGGAAAGGTATGAATCCACCTCTTCCCTCCCCCAAACAGTAGGATTTATATTAGTAAATCATTATTTCCAAAAAGTTCTTACAATCTAAAAACATTTTTTGGCTTTAAATAACCTGCAAAAGATTTATATTATATAATCAGTCATTGTTAATGCTCTTTCCAGTATTGATGGGAAGGTGGGGTTCCTTTCTTGCTTTTTGTTTGGGGTAGAGTGGAACATCAGCATCTTGATCATGTTGATTATTCTCTTTGAGTTAAATGTGCTACCCATTTTAGTTATTGCTGTTGTTAAAAGTCCTCATGTGGTGTGGTTTCTGGTACAGTTCTTTGTGATTCTGCAATTCCAGTCCACGAGGTTCGATAAAGAATGGTCCTTGCTGAGGCCTACATGCTTCACTCACTTGAAGCCATTTTTAAAACCTTTCAGCTGAGAAAGCAGTTGTATATAGCTGACAGTTTATATATTTCTGAACAAGTCTGGCACCATACATGATTTTCATATGAAAGTTTTGATTTGATAAAGCTATTTTAGAACATAACTCTCATTTTTTGTTTTCTTAGCAGCTTCCAGTGTTGGGCAAAATTACCCTGAGCACAACTTATTCTATGTTCAATTTCCTTGTTTCCTATACTAAATTTGTTGTAACTGATCCATACACCAAGGTATTTGAAGTGTTTAGTATTTACTAATTCTACATACTAGATTTTATGAAGGATTCAGGTTATGCACTATTACTGCTTTCAATCAAATTCCAGATCATAAAAACATTTCTGTTTTGGAAATGTTTATCTTGAGTCATACTTCTTGGTATACTTGGTAGAGGATGATGATTTTTTTTTTCAAGATCATTCTTATCTCAAGTATGAATACCTATGTCATCAGTATACCCCCACTCCCTCATCTTCTGTACATTGTCATTTGGTAGGGAAGCAGGATAGCTATCTTCTATTACTAGATTTATTTGGGATACATTGTGGAATGTTTAAATAATCAGTGTTCATCTCTTCACATCTGTACTTGTATACAGCAGAGCAT